CCCCCCCACATGCAAATAACAAAAGGCACATTCATAATTTAAAGTTCTTATAAAGCCACATTTAATCATACTACCCTATCATAGTTGCCAACATTGGGAATAAAACATCCGTGAGATTTTGCTTTGGGGGACCCACGAGGCGCCACCATAGTTGGCGCTGAGCGGAAAAATTTGAAAATATGGAGTCTCTAGATCATTGGAAATGGCATTTTCAGAGTCTTCTATACCTTATACACACAACTTTTGGTAGCTTTTCTTTAGATATACAAAACCATATTGTTGAATACCCACGAGTACGAGGTTGCATGAAAGTGATGTTTTGATTATCTATTTTTGGCTGAATGACGTGAATTTTTTCTGAAGAAAAAGGTTTTATGTAATTTGACGCAAATGAAGTCACTCTTAATAGTTAAGATGTGCAACATTAAGCCAACATATTTAAGAAACAGTTGGGTTATTTTCGAAATCCGTGAGATATATTAACAAGTTGTGAGCTCACTGTGAGGTTTTAGTAAAATCTGTGATGTTCATGGTGGATCTGTGAGAGTAGGCAACTACAGTATGCCCCATGTACATGTATTGTAATTTATATAATTATTCTTTACCATTTATTGGGTCAACGGCTGTTCCAATGTACATGTTTGTGTTGAAATCAGTTTAATACATGGTGTTGTGTTGGAGTTTACTGCAGTTCTACTGCTCTCTATTTTTATCTGTAGGTTTTATGGTACAACAGGGTCATGTGGGACAGGTATTAATATTGCACAAACATTTTTGGCCCCCCTTTTTTTAATGCAGTCAAAAATACCTGACCCCCTACTTTTCCACCAGCCCCCTCCCCTGTAATTAATGACCGGTCCCTCATTCTGTTCACCTGTATACTCCAGTCATAATTTTTTTCATAAGGCCAAATCCAAATTAGACTTTAGTTTCCTATCTGGCCCTTATTTCAAATTACACACGGGTGGGCGGTCCATTTCCATTATCCATTATGGTGTCTGAAAGAATCTGACACAACCATTGAACTAACTAGAAAATACATGCATGCAGAAACCCTCGCCTTGCTGACAAAACCATTGTAGTTTCCGAACATGAAGTATCTAAAATAGTTGTCATGGTAACACGATAATTTTTTAAGAATATTCTTACAAATGAAAATCCCCTAAAAATATCACTTTTAATTACAAAATTATTAATTTCCCAACATGGATGTTAGGTATGTTATTATACGTAATATAAGCTTCAATTTAAGGTAAAAGTCAACCACAAACGCTTCGCAAAACGTTTTAAAGTGTTCTTTAAAAAACTAAACTGCCTTTAATTAAATGGCTTTATCGATAAACTTTGAGTTTGCAATAAAATGATTTCAAATTCTCGCATGCAAATAACTTTATATGCTATGTTGTTTAGTTTCGGCAATTGATAAAACTAGAATAGTGAAGCGAATAGTCGACGAATAGTACGAATAGTCCGCGAATAGTCCGCGAATAGTCGACGAATAGTGCGAATAGTCCGCGAATAGTCGACGAATAGTCCACGAATAGGCGACGAATAGTACGAATAGTGCAATAGAGACTTTGCAAGGCTTGGCATGGTAGAAAACCCGGGTACCGGATAACCGGATAACCGGATAATCGGATAACCGGATAATCGGATAACCGGATAACCGGATAGTATATAAAGATTTTTTCATGGGAAATACTTACGTGTGGTATTTACGCACGCGTTATAATCTGTTTTCGCAAATTAAACGAACGAGCGAGTGCAAAATTTGTTCTTCATAGACGATACAGAGTTTATTTATATTACACAGCGAAAAATATAAAGGTTTATATGTTTCATAAAGCGAGACAATCAGATAAACAAAGTCGTGTCGTACAAAAATACATCGGAAAATACAAATTTTTCAGTATTAATGAACAGGAAAGGAAATATCAATTTATTATTATTATTTACAAATATTTTAAAACGGTAGCTCTTCAGAACACCTATGATCCGTTTTTCAAGAGGCCGTTTAAACTAATATTTACAAAGTTTAATAAAAATTACATCTAAAATATAATATAATATAAATTATCACACAGTTAAAGTCTAAGAGAATATATACAAAATATTGTGTCCCATCGTCATTTCTTTTGCCTTAATCTCATTTGGCAAATTATTCCAGCATTT